GATACAGAATGAAGCAAAATATTTTAACACCGGACATATTGAAGGATATTTTTGAACAATGGACCCAGAAGTTAATTTGAAGAGTGTCTGCCTCTATAGATAGACTGTGTTTCAAAGATGTATGAAAGAGGAACAAGTTTTAATGGACAAGACTGAGACTGATTTGAAAGTGGACTTAAAAATTATATGGAGAAAGATGCTACAGCGGATGTCTTAATAATTAAAAGGGATATACAAATAAAAAAACCAAGAGAGTGACCTGGATACTTCTTCTATATTGGATTCACTAAAGAATCCTGTTAAAGTTTTGAAGGACTTTGTGAGAAAGGACAAAGAAAAAATGAAAAGAAATCAAGTTTCAGGACATTATTTAAAGGGATTAAAGATCAAGATTGTTAGAAGTAAAAGGAAGGAATATAAAGTTGGTTTATTTGATCACGGTTAGATTAAAAGAAATCAAGTTTCAGGACATTATTTAAAGGGATTAAAGATCAAGATTGTTAGAAGTAAAAGGAAGGAATATAAAGTTGGTTTATTTGATCACGGTTAGATTAGATATGTTGTTATCTCTGGTAACCCTTAATGGACTTTGGCTGATCAGGAGTGGACAACAAGGCTTTAAAGATTTGCTTATAGATAAGAAATGAGACATGGGAAGAAGAGATCATTTGTTGTATTTTAAGAGAAGGTGATGAGTTACCAAAATTGTTTATAATTGTAATGAAGGGGGAAGTCATTTCTTTTTATATTTCTTTTTTTTTCTTTACTATATTCTTATTTTTTCTTTCTTTTCTATTTTTCTATTTTTTTCTTTTCTGCACCTTCTATTTTTTCTTTTTATTCTTTTCTTTTTTTAGTTTGCATTAGTTTTTTAATTGTAACTTTTAATATTGTTTATAATTGTAATGAAGGGGGAAGTCATTTCTTTTTATATTTCTTTTTTTTTCTTTACTATATTCTTATTTTTTCTTTCTTTTCTATTTTTCTATTTTTTTCTTTTCTGCACCTTCTATTTTTTCTTTTTATTCTTTTCTTTTTTTAGTTTGCATTAGTTTTTTAATTGTAACTTTTAATAAAATTACTATATAAAAAAGAACAGCCACAGACAAAGGTGGATAGTTCTGTCTCATTTGATTCTACCTAGTCCGTGATTAATCTCTGACCTTTGCTGCCCATCAAGAAGGGCTTCTGAAATCTAATGAGTTCACTGACGTCTATTCTGATAAAGTCCCACCTCAGCTTATACAGGCAAATATCCATTCCCCTACTTCAGTGTTGTCCAAACTTTAAGATGAGTGGACTTCAACTCATGGCTGGCTGGGGAATTCTGGGAGTTGCCCCTACTCTTCAGGGCAAGAATTCCCTATACAGGGGTAATCCATGCAAAGAGCTTCTAAAATTTGTATAGGTAGTCCCCAGATTAAGAACAAGTTAAGACTTAAAGTCTGTCCTTAAGTCAAATTTGTATGTAAACTGGAACAGTATTATTGTATAATCCTGTATAGGTATTGTGTAATGAACTCAAACCATTGTGGATTTAACTCGAATCATTCTGTATTTAACTCGAATTTTGCTACAATCCAGAAAGAGAAGCTTGTAGCCAGGCTTTGGTTGAACTTGATAAAGTTAATCCAGAAAGAGAAGCTTGTAGCCTTCTACTCAGATATGTAGTAATGTTGGTGCAAATAAGACACAGCTTCATTTGCCTTTTGGATGCGACTTCTGGTTAAAGCATTTGAATAAGGATTTAATTTGGATCACTATCTCCTGCTACTAAGGAATAAACCATTGATCCTCCTCATTGGTTCATATATCTTTGTTCCAGATTAAAAAGCAGCAGCAAGATGTGATCGGCTTCTTGGAAGTCAACAAGATTGAGTTTGAAGAGAAAGACATTGCGGCCAACGAAGAGAATCGCAAATGGATGAGAGAGAATGTCCCAGAAGAGAGCCGGCCAGCCACTGGGAATCCATTACCTCCTCGAATCTTTAATGACAGCCAGTACCTTGGGGTGAGAGATGGGCCTTTGTTTTTCTTTTCATTGTGTTGTAATCTGCTAGGAAGTTTCCTGGTAGAAGCCTCAAATCTAGAGTCTCTGCCCCAACTGGACCATCATTTGCAAGCGACTTTTGGGATGGGGTGGGGAGGATCTCAACAGAGGAGAAGTGCCTGGCCTACTTCGCTTGAATTTGATAAAGTTAATCAGGCTTTTTTTCCCAGTCTGCTCTTGGAAATCCCTGGGCTATAGGCGAGGCCATATAGGCGATGTGTGGACTTCAACTCTCAGCATGGCTGGCTGGGGAATTCTGGACGTTGAAGTCCACACGTCTTCAAGTTGTCAAGCTTAAGAAACACTGCGCTAGGCTGCAGCAATCACAAAAAATCCCTAGGAAGAAAACAGTGACACAATAAATTCCTTATGTCTTCAAGTCTACTGTATTGACTAATCATATAGTCACGAAATGTTTGGCTCAACTTGAGGGTATCTCTTCCCTTGGCGTATCCAGCAGGGAGGATTTTGCTTATTTCTTTCCAGGAGCTCAATATTTTGATAGGTTTTGGGACAGAATACAAGTAAGTAGAAGTGTTTTTTTTTTTCTTTAATCCATTTCCTCCTCCTTTTTTGGAAGAACGTAACTGCACTTGTAGCACAGGATGCAGAACTCACAAGGGGAGAGATCACGGTCTGCATTTTGAGTAGACCAATTATCTTCACAGCCATTTTAAGCCTCCCAGAGCAAGTATTTTTCAATTGTCTCCCAACACCTTTTTCAGTTCTTCTCAGTGCTGATCCCCAACTGAAACAAATCCTTGATGATATATAGCGCTTCCTCAGACTTGTTCCTCACTCCCCTTGCCATTGTCTTTCCATTTGTTCAATGTTAGCTTCTTTATTGGTTATGTATAAAGGGCCATGTCTGTAAGTGGTGTTCCCCAACCTGATGTCATCAAAGTGCTTTGGAGAACAGTTTTCCATCATCTCAGCTGGAATGGAAAATAGACCACATCCAATGGGAATGATCAACTTTGTCACCAGACACCTCAGAATGGTGCCTTGGAGAAAGGCATTTTTGCTGATTTTTTTTCAATAGGGATGTTTCTTCAGACTTCATCTGTTAAATACCAGGCTATGTAAAAAAAATCCTGTAGGCCTGTTCAAAGGTTTTGTGATTTAAATGTCAGTGACCAGCGCTTTGCCCTTTACGTCTGTCCCCTTCACTAACTTCACTTTGGCTTTTGGTGCAAGTTGGAAAAGAAACATTTCTGATCTATTTCATCTCTGATGGTTCTCCTGAAGAAATCCTTGTTAAAGGGCCAGTTAATTTTCACCTGTCGGGGGGCGGGGGGGGGGGGGGAGTCAGAGTGATATGGGAAGGCAAGGGAGCTAGAAAACCTCCTTAAACTGAATTGCTCAGATTAGCATTACAGAACCGCAGTGGTAAAATTGACCATTTTGAAAGCAGACTTCCTGGCACAGAGTCACCTTAATTTGAATCTGTAATCTTGCTTATTGTACATTGTGTTTTTCTTAGATAAAGTGGTGGTGGTGGGGGGTGTTCTGTGGATAATTTATTTATATATTGTCATTCCCCACCCCACCCCAAATCCAGATATTGTTAGGTATTTAGAGCAACTTGCTCTCCTTTTCTTTTTTCTTTTTCTTTTTAAGGATTGTAGAAGAACCCTCCTTCAAAATGTGTGTATATGTGTGTGTGTGTATCAGCAGTTGTACAAAGTTTAATTTCCCCTGAAGCAATTTAAGACCCCCTTTCCCCATTGCCTTGAAATGTACAACTCTTTAACTTCAGCTTAAACTTTCTGTTAGTGTACATTTTACCACCAAGTCTTTCCTTTTTTCTTAAAAGGAAAAAAAAACCCTGATGTAGAAAATCAAAATGGTGGTTTAAGAATACATGATATGAACATTTCTTTCACTAGCAAGCAATGGTGCGGTCTCTGTGTCATTAACATCCTTAAAAAGAAAAAATTCAGGATGCTTATATTTCTGTTGCCATGAATACTGAACATTACTATCTTGATACTACTGCACTGCATATATTTTTAATAATAGAAATACAGTCACAAATACTTGATTTGGAAACTACATAATTTCTAGACTTTGGTTATTTCTAGATCAATGAGGTCTGCACACATTTTCAGTTTCACATCTGGAAGAAAGTGTTGCTTTCTTTTCCTAAAGATTCCTGTCCTATTCATAGAGCTCTTACATAATGCAACAATTAAAACAAGTTTAAAAAGAGAATATTTGATAACACAAAGTTTGCACCACATAGGGATCAGCTGTCAAATATATTTGAAATTGGCTGTACTTCCCAACTCAGAAATACTTCTCTGAGACTAACTGAAGCTACTCAGCCTGTTTTTTTCCAGATATAATACCACAATCAGATTCCTTACCAAACCAGT